CGCCGCTGCCACCCCAGCGGCCGCGCTCCAGCAGCGTGTCCCGCTCGAAGCTCGGCTCGCCCTTGGCCTGCAGCTGGTGGGGGGACAGCAGGCAGTCCTTCTGCAGCAGCAGCACCAGGTCCTTGTACACCGCGCGCTGGATGGAGTCCCCCATGATGACCACGAACTTGTTGTGCAGCAGCTGCCGGACCTCGCGCGCTCGCAGGTGGACCGTGGTGGGAGAGGTTCGCCTGGAGAGGTTTGCCTCCATGCCGACCCAGTCCCGAGGGGAGGAAGAAGCGGGGAGGGGGAGGGCGTAGCAGGGTGTCGGGGGTCAGAGAAGAGCTGGGGGGAAGGACAGGAGCTCACTGGGAAGAGGAGAGGCACACACAGGTGGGAGGAAGGAGAGAAACAAAATGGGGGCTGGAGACGTGGAACCATTTGGCTCCAACTGCGCAGGCTCCTGCGTGATCCAGGGCGCCACCTAGCGGAGGGGAGGCAGGAAACCTGCCAGGGTGGTGTGGGCACCGCTCAGCCCCGCCCCCTAGGGGCGTGGTGAGTCTGAGTGACTCCACCCCTGGGGATGTGGGCACCGCCCTACGTGGCCCTGCTCTTGAGGATGGGGCGGGGTCTTCTGTGAGGCCCCGCCCCTGCGGATGTGGGGCCCCCTGGCGATGTGGGCCCCCCACACCCCTTGCAGAGCCCCTCTCTCCAGATGGGAGCCCCATGCATAATGGGGGTGCTGCCCCTGTTGACACGCACATCTGCACGCACATGAACACAGGAATCCCAGGCCACGTGTGCTCAGGGCTCAGCCTGCAGCGTGGCGTTGTCTGTTTGTCCAGTCATCACGGCACTGCGGTGGAGGCCCCTTTTGCACGTCTTTGCTGTGTGTGCACGTTCCATTTCCGTGGAGAAATTCTTCGTTAGCTTGGAGAATGTCCTGCAAGCCCAGCCCCGTAGTCTTGGCAGCTGGGTGGATGTTCCCATGGGGGCAGGCTCCTGCTAGCATGGCTACTGTTGCTGCTGCTGCTTCAGCTTCCTGATCTTCCCAGTGCGTGGTGTGGGGCCTTTGCAAATACCCTAAGGCTCAACACTTCATTTCCTCTTCTACTTGTCCAGTGTGCATTGTGTCCCTGTGCCCTTGTGAGAAATGATCCAGAGAGATCCCCGTGTACCCTTTGACTGCTTTCCTTCGTGGTTGACATTTGGGAGAGCTTTGGTCCCTGGGTAGATCTCATTTCCTCATGGCAAGGATCCTTGTCCTCAATGGCTCACCCCTCCCCCACCCCGTTCCACAATGCCAGCCCCCCACTGAGTTATTCCCCCTCCCCCTTAACGGAATTTTAGCACTTAAGGGATTTGAACATTTCAGGGATTCCACATGAATGGAATTGTATAGTAAGTAAGCATGGGTGTGGGGCCAGGGTCAGCTTTTTCAATTTTTCTTCAGCAGTATTTTAGAAACTCCTCAATTTTGTCCACTTTATAAACTTTATTAAAAAGGCGCTGTGAACCTTTTCCTACACCAATGATGTGTACATTGAGATTTTCATTTCTCTTGAATAACCAGGTACCCTCCCCTCATCCACACCTCTGTCCCTTCCCTCCTCTCTTCTGGAACTGGGCTTTGAACTCGGGGACACTTACTAGCCCAGATTTCTACCACTGGATTGATCCCCTGTTTCTGGTGGTAATTTTCAAGGCAGATTCTCTCAAACTTTTCTGTCTGTTGCTGTCTGTCTGTTTTCACTCCTCCCATACATATATGAGAGCATATTCTGGATATGTGAATGGAATCCTTTATATACTTGATCAAGCAAGTCTACTCTTTTGTTTAGGGTTGTTACCTTTGATCTTATGGACTAAATCTCAGTTATCACTTTTTCTGATATTTACAAAGGAGTCATGCAAGAGGAAGAAATCTTACCTTCTTTAGTGCAACTCTATAGTTAAATTGTATGATACTCTTGCCCCATCTAGTTTTTTTTTTTGTAGTAATTAGCCTTTGACAAACCTTGTGTATTCAACCCCCTAGTAATTAGCCTTTGACAACCTTGTGTATTCAACCCTTCCATTGAGGATTTTAGGGGCTATATTTTCTGAGTTTTTTTCCCAATGATCAGATAGGTGTCTTTTCTAGAATTTTATCAAATTACCATCAGAAGCTCCTTATTTCTCCAGGACTGTAATTTTAATTTTTTTTTTCTGAGTTCAGGATAAACCAGAAACATGCATCCTGAACTGAATAACATCTGTTCAATTTTGGATTGTGTACACAAAATGCCTTGCACAATTAGCATCACCTTGCTAAATCTGCTTCTCTAAATGGTACTTGGTGGCCCAAAAGGTGGGAAAATCCACTGATTTCTAAAGTAATTCTCACCATATTACAATAAATGACTGGATCTTTTATTGGAAAGTTAAAAATCTTATGATGTTGGCATATTATGTTAACAGAAAATTATTTATTTTAATCATCCTTTCAACTGATCTTCCAAATATCCCCTAGTCCTTTAGTTATTCACATTTACACACACACACACATACACACACACACACACACACAGGCAAAAACAAAAACAAAAATGTTAATCTAATAAACTATTTGTGTTAATGTATGATTTAGGCCTATATGCCAATGTTCTTTGTTATTGTTTTTGTTTTGTTGTTGTTTTTGTACCAGTACTAGGTCTTGAACTCAGGGCCTGACCACTGTCCTTTAACTTTTTCACTAAAGCTGGAGCTCTACCATTTGAGCCACAGCTCCATTTCTGGCTTTTTGGTGCTTAATTGGGGACAAGAATATCACAGACTTTCCTAACCCCAATGGCTTTAAACCACAATTCTCAGATCTCAGCCTCCTAAGTAGCTAGAATTATAGGAGTAAGCCACTGGTGCCCAGCAATAATAACGTTTTTTTTTTTTTTTTTGGCTTCTTGTTAACTTTGAAGCTTGGAGAATGACACTACTTACTTTTCTCTGACCAAAAGCAGATGTTACCATCAGTTAGATAACATCAGAATATCCTGATTCCTGTCATAAAATACACATTTCCATTTAAATATAAAGAGTTATATTTGTTAACTTAATGAAGAGGATGATGTAGATGAAGGGAAGACAGAACTTTCTTGACCTAAGTAGAGGCTATAAATAAATAGATGTGGCTCCTTTACTCCAAGAAATAATCTAGGACTATAAAAACAGATATGAGCCAAAATATTATGAAATATTAGATAGGGAAAGACATGTATACTGTATATAAGATATATAGAAGTAGTAGTTTCAAATAAAGCCTTAAGTGCTACGGACAGTCTGTTTTTAAATTTCACTGTAACTTTTCTTTACTATTACTTTAGTTATACTCTTACTTCAGGTTTAGAAGTTGAAATTTTCTGGGTTTAAGAGTTAAGAGATAGAGGGGAGAGAGGCAAATGAGTAGAGAGAGGAAGGGAGGTTAAATACAGTTACACTATTCAAGGTATATATATATATATATATATATATATTATATCTATAGATGGAACTAGGTAAGTTGAGGGGTTGAATGGCCTTGAGAAAGATTGCGGAAGACATTGATCGAGATTTTTTGTACACACAAACTGACTTGTTAAATTGAAACCACTCTGTACCATTCTTAAAAGATAACAGAAAAGACTTAAAGAGGAAACCATATTGGGGTGGTAACTAGCATATGAAAGAAAACAGGGCCTTAGGAAGGGGCTGATTAAGACTTAGAGAAGTCATTGCAATGAAAAGATAAACTTGACCAGAAGGGCCTTTCCTGACCATCCTATCCATTGTTCAGTCCCACACCTGCTTTACTTTTCTTGATGAAATTGATAACTGCCTGTCATTTTCTTATTGGATTATCATTATATTATTCTGTAAGACTTGTCTAAAAAAATAGCTTGCTTCTATTTCTTGATATATCCTCACATTTGGGATGATGTTAGGTAAGGTACATAGCTGGTTCTCAATAAATGTTTGTGAAATGAAAACATGAATGATAGAAACTCATTATTGGAAGAGATCTTTAAAAATTACTCTGCGCACTCACCTAATGCTTGGATTGCCTACATTGCATGAATAGTAAGACTTATCTCGTCTGTGTTCTTATGTTCATTCTGGAAAACATTCTGCTTCCCCTGTCCTTTCTTTGATTTCTTTAAAGACTTTATTTTATCCACTCAGATATTAGAGGACCATGATGATGCTTCTTCCACATAACAATCTTGGTAATGTATTTGGATAAAACTTGGGACCCCATTCATCTCCTGAACAGTCTCCCAAATATCTTCAATTACTAAGACTAAAGCATGATTTCCATTATGTGTTAGTGAATGGCTCAAGTAGATATAATGAAGGAATAAGGAGTATGATTCAGAAGACTGTCACTGTGGCACAAGAATTTCTTTACATGGTAATAAAGTGGATCCCTGTGAAATTATGCCTCTCTGCCCTTCTAAAGGATCATGAGATTAGTGAGCTTTTGACAGCTGCATCCTCTGTTCTGGCAGATTTCGACTCTACACATGGAGTGGATGGCTGCGTGGGGGTGTGGGAAGCAAGAGTTCCCTCATCTTGTCACATGGATGATTGACCTCATGCTTGTCTCTTTCTCTTTTGTTTGCTGATGAAGCAGTAATATCAACACTACCAAGTTCAAGTTGTCATTGACATCAGTTATTAAAGCCAATCCAGTTTTTGTCATTGGTCCTAACTTATAAAGCTCTTCTCCATTCCAAGTTTACTCTTCTCAGAATCCATCACAATCCATATGTGACATTGAAGGTGAATCCTGTTCTCTAGGTGTGGATTGATGAACACAATCACAGATTTGGATTTTCACCTCTTTTGTTAACTAATGCTGCCTAAAATCTAATCTGCATTTTTGGAGGGTTCACCATGCTTGTGACTCACATTGACTTTCTCTTCCACTAAATATATCTGAGTCATTTTAATACATGGTAAAGGGTTGTCTTCCCTGTCCTAAACCTGTGCCTCTGGCTTTTAAAATTTGAGAACAAATCTGAAGACTTTATGTCAGATGAACTGTACTGTTCCTATTGACCAAGGTCTTTTCATTCTATTGCACCCGCCTGTCAAGACACTTCTGACTCTTTCGTCTTGATGTTCAGTATCCATATCAGCAATCTAAAACTGTGCCTGAGAAGCACCCCTTCTAGAATCGACAAACCAAAATGAAAAACACTAATCTAGAAAGGAACTGTGGTGCATGTAACCCCCCTTCTTCCTTCCAACTTGAAT